ATCAGGCTACGTCTATACACCCGAGGTGAGATTTATCAGGCTACGTCTATACACCCGAGGTGAGATTTGTGCTACGCATGGACGAGCCTCGCAATAGTCCCCTTCACAGTTTCCTGCGCCATCTTGAAAGGTAACCGCGCCTGTGCATTGAAGCGGAACGGCGTTGACTAATTGTCTAATTTACCAATTGTCAATTATGGTCCAAGGCGTTAAAATAGGTCCGTCACCCTCGCTACGATGTGCAGGGGTGCTTTCCTTTCAATATGGCGCAGGAAACTGTGAATGTAGTATTTATCCATTTATCCAGCTCGTTAAAGGCTTGGAATTGAGTGACTTTGATTTTCCTTTATTTTCAGGTGTACCCTACGTCAGTCAGAGGTATTGGTCTTGGCGCCTGTAACGGCGTTGCCAGGATAGGCTGCATGATAACCCCATTCGTTGCTATGGTAAGATTGTCGTCATAGTGATCTGACTATTGTGTCATAGTATACTTATTTCGGTCCAGAAAAACATTACCAAGTCATTACCAAAAAGCACTTCTAGGGGACCAGGCAAAAGAATGGACTCTCTTACTTATCGTGGGATTACTGTTTTCCCCTTTCAGAACACGTGTCCGTCATTATTTGAATGTGAGGGAGGGACTGGGTCAAATAGATCCGTTGCATGTAACGTAAAAGTAGCTAAATTTAGAGGACAAAACAAAAAAATTAGAATTAGATGAGGATTGGAAATCTATTTATATGACCTACAAATAGCGCTGCATTCCGACGTGCTGCAAGGGGTCTATAGATGGAGCTCGTTAATTTATTAACGCAGAGGAAAAGAGGGAGCCTTAAAAATTATGCAAGTATTTATTTTTTCGTGTTTGTAGGTGCTGATGCCAGCAGCAGTGAATATCTCTTTATCACTTTACCTTGGATTCGCAGTACTGGGAGTTTGTGCAGCACTTTTGTTACCAATAGAAACAAAAGGAAGAGCGCTTCAGGTTAGTTTGCTCCTAATTACCAAATACACACCCGAAGAAAGGTTACTTGTGGGACTAAGAAATACAGACTATTAAATGTGAATGGGTAAAAACATTTCAAAATTGAACATCTTTTCCAGGAAAGTTAGCTTCGTAACTTGGCTAAATACGCGTCAACTGCGCGCATGACAAGTAGCTATATATCTTGGCCATTGTGCCAAAACCATGCCAGCGTTACGCTTGGAAATATCAAGGACACCATCCATTACATTGGTAGCTTGCATATCCCTTTTCATGAGAGTAAAAGGACAAAAAACGTGGCCGCCTTGTTGGTTGACATGACAATAGATATGCAGCAAGACCAAATCTTTTGAAGTGAAATGAACAAAAATGGCGGCTGTGATGTCACATGCACCCCAAGAATACAGCCACGTGACATCAACGACTTCCTGACGCATGCATCGCATTCATCGATGGATTGGATCGCATTTCCAATCGCTCAATGGAAACATGGTAACATGGAGTTACGCTTAGAATCACTGAACTTGCGTGACGTAAGAACGCAGAACTCCTAATTTGATGTGAGACCAAAAGTATTTATTTGTTATACCACCGATTAAAAGAACTAAGATTGCGTGACACCTCCAAGCACAAGCCATCCCTTGAAGGTGGCGGCGCCGGGTTGTTTAAGATATTAACTTATTGCGAACTAATTAAAAAGAAAAAACGATTATAATTTTCTTTCATATCCAAATTCACAGCTCACAGCGCACAATTAAATTCGGTCATCGCTCATTTAGATTTTAGATCTCTGACCGACAAGGTTTCTTAAAATAGGTGTATATCCGTTGATCGGATATAGCTTAAAAGTGTTTCTTGTGCAAGCAGATTTTGAAATTTGTTTAATAAATTAACGGGTTTTCTTCAGTACTCGATTTGAAAGAATTTTTTATCATAATACTTCAGCCGGAATGTCCGGTTTTCCGATTGAGGTAATCCGCTTTTCCCGCTCTTTTTGGTCCTTTCGGTAGACGCGTGTACCATTTTTTAGAAACAAACGTTTCCCGCTCTTTCCTTACCTTAAATTATGGCGTTGTTTGTACCGATGCTACACCAGAATGCATCACGTTTATCGAACACAGAAAAGGACAGTTACCACTCTCCCACGTCGTGACCGCGGAACGCCTAACATAAATGACGCTTGATTGATCAAAACTACTTGATATTTTGAATTSTTTTATTGGGCATTCCACAAATCATTTCTGCATTTATGTACAGGATTATTTTAATAAATATCATGTATTTTCTGTGATAAGCACTCAGTGCGATAATCTATAATTATCATAATCACGTCCCATTCAATACGTTTAAAAGTGTGTCCCATTAGGCACTCTTCACTACCCACAGGATAACCATTAAAAAAACTTTCAATATTTCTCACACATTGCAGTAGAAATCTATGGCCATGCAAAAGCAATTCTAGTAAAAGGTCTTATCAAAAGCGGATTAAAATCGGAACTTACCTAATTTAACGACCTTAATAGCGTAGTGAGTGCCTATAAGCCTTCATTTTTCCCCTTTTTCGACAAAAAGTATGAGTAACGAAAAACTCATTTTTTAACAATTTAGGTCAAAAAATTTTATCCTGCCTTTTTTAGAACGCGATGAAATTAGCAAAAAAGCTGTTTGGGCTTCCTGTGCAGTAAATTTCGCGCTAGTGCCCAGCTTTTCGTATGACTTAACATATGACAGTCCTTGAAGTTAGTGTAGTTTACTGTTGTGAGAGACTATGGTGTGAAAGAGACTTTAAATCTTTAAATTCGTAAAATGCCAGATCGGTGCATTGTGGGTGGACGCTCTAATGAGTCAAACTCGCAAATGGGCATTTCACTGCATCGAATTCTCTTCTTCAACGATGAGCGTTCAGAAGCCAAGATGCGTRGGAAAAGGTGGACGGACTTTGTTTTGCGTACGCGATCACACTGRAAGCCAACTAAGCTTTCAGCAGTATGTTCGGACCACTTTCTTCATAAATATTACAACAGATATTTTTTAATTCCAACTTAAGGCCGTACACACCGAGATTGAGCAAAGACGTTGTTGGAATAGTGGTTTTTCCTACGATAACCAAAGTGCGATCAGATAACCCGTTTCAGCGCGAAGCGTACGACAGGTAAACAAGGTTTATAACCACAGCACTGCAAGTTATTTTGGATAAGAAAACACATGTTCTAGCACACTTGACATTCGCGTTTTCTTTTCTCGGTGTTTTCTTTGTTGTATGTATCTAAGAAGGGAAGAAAGAACAAGAGCCTATTTTGGAGACATTCGCTGAAAATAAATTGAAAAACAACTCCACTGATGAAGACATGGTTTCCGATTCTGAACAACTGTCGAGGAAGAGGTTGAGATGGATGACTGCTCAGAATATACAGAATGTGAAACGGATCACACAGCAACAGAATCTGAAACAGATGACAACATTGATTGATGATGTTCTTTATAATATTGGTTGTTCGGTGTTCTCACACAGACTCRGTRATTTATGAAAAACTRGTCAAAGCTCTAACAAAGGACAACTTAGTCAAAGCAGTAAAGAAGGCCATTGAATTCCCATTGAATAAACTAGTTGCGAAGAGGGTTTTCACTCCGTTGTGAATCCGTTTCAGCCCCAAAGATTGTCGCCTACACTTTTCCTGGAATGTACTGCAGGTTGGTTGTAATTTACTTWCACATGAGAACCATTATTAACATTGGCCACTTTCATATACAACAGCAGGAGCTTGTTTACACAATAGTCAAAAATCTACACTTTCATAAAATTTGAATGAATTTCTTAATGAAAGTAAAATCTTATCTTTAGAAAAGTATATGAAAAAAGTTTTAAAATTTTCAAGACTTTTAATTTGCGAGAATACATGAAAATAGGGCCACAAAGGCCAGATTTCAGACATTCATACTGAGCTCTTCAATTTTGATATTTTGGGAGTTTTGTTGCTTGACCAAAAAACTTTTTGTTACCCGGTATTGCCTTTCTCTTGTTCCAGGCCCATATTAGCTGTCCTTCATTTCAATTCTAGCCTTTAGAATAACAGCTGATGGAAAACAAAAGGTTAAGATAGTATGGTCAAAATTTAAGAATGGTGAGGCAAAAGTTCGAGATGTAAGAGTTGTATCTAATTATGGTAAGTAATCAGGCAATTAGTAATAACTACTGAAAAAAATCTAAAAATCAAATCGAATCATGACAATCCTAATAAACTTTGCTGTTATTTTTTAAAGATGACGTTGAGGAAACATTTCAAACAACAAGCAATTGTTTAAAAGAAAAGAGTCTAAATGCTGCCAGGATTGARCTACACGAATGGCTGGAATGGCTGCAGCATTATGCGATCAAGTATGAACAAAACAAAAAATAAATACTGTCAGGGCAGCCTTAAATATGGTGAAGGACACCTTTAAATATGGTGCAGAAAGCCCTTAAATATGGTCACTTGAAAAAAGGATCCCCTTAAATATCCATGGTCATTCAAAAAATCTTGGATCCCTTAAATATTGTCAAGGATACTCTTTCATTTGACAAAAAAGGATACTCTTAATATGGTCAAGGATACTCTTAATATGGTCATTTGAAAAAAGGATATCCTTAAATATGGTCAAAGATACCCTTAAATATGTTCATTTGAAAAAAGGATACTCTTAATATGGTCAAGGATACTCTTAAATACGGTCAAGGATATTCTTAAATATGTTCATTTGAAAAAAGGATACCCTTAAATATAGTCAAGGATATTCTTAAATATGGTCATTTGAAAAAAGGATACCCTTAAATACGGTCAAGGATATTCTTAAATATGGTCATTTGAAAAAAGGATACCCTTAAATACGGTCAAGGATACTCTTAAATATGGTCAAGGATACCCTTAAATATGGTCATTTGAAAAAAAAGGGATACCCTTAAATATGGTCGATTGTCTCGCGCAATGTGATTGGTCTGGCAGTGCCGTGACCTTCGCGTGTTCGTGTCCGCGCCGTGTTCCTGCCGTTTTTCGGGTATTTGATTGGATGGAAAGTGTAAGCACTCGCCCAAGAGAGAGGTACCGGGTGAACTGYTTTTATTACTCGTCAGCTCTTCATCTACTTTACATGTTTCAGATCTACCCTTTATATATTCTAAACACGTGGGGATTTCCCACGGTATTCTACAAAAGTTACGTTAATACTGAGTAAATAACAGATATAGATAAAGATTATAGAGTGCATTCAGTCAAACTGTTGAATAGTTGTACGTCACCTAAATTAGACAAGTTACTGTTTTAGCTGACGTCACCTTAATTTGAAACTACGAGTAAACAGCTACTGAGATCAGGGGGAGAGACGAGGATACAAATGAATGTCTATTCACTCATTCTCTGGTAAAACAACCCCCAGGATTACTATTACTTTTACTATTTTAGGTGACGTCAACTAAATACTATAAATTTTCAAAGATATTGACCTAAGTTTGAGCTCCATATTTTGCTCCTACAATAAAAAAGCTTTTTTTTTTCTTTGAAAAGGCTTAACCAATTTTGTTCAAATGTTCAGATTGATCGTTTTTTTCCACTTGTTTCTGATGTTTTATGTCCTTTCTGACCAGTCTTCGCACTTTTCGGTGTTTGTTGGGCGTGATATTTTATACACTTCCTCTGCTTCGGTGGCAAGGGCGGCAATTGTTGTTCATGAATATTGGGCGTTATTGGCATTAGCATGGCTCTATGTTTCATTAGACAGCAACAGCAAACACACTTCAATATAAAGTTTATAACAGATAGAGCAACGGCAACATATATCAGGATGACTTGAAACGTAGTAAAGGATGTTTCCTTTATCTTCTTAATTTCTTTATTAGCTTGATTGATACGTTTAGTCAGTTGATTGTCATACCAACTTATTTCTTGGTCAGGCTCTGTGATCAACGTTTTATTAATCGTGTTCTCCACCAATTTGTAAGCACTCGCCCAAGAGAGAGGTACTGGGCAAACTGTTTTTATTACTCGTCAGCTCTTCATCTACTTCATCTACTTTACATGTTTCAGATCTACCCTTTATATATTCTACACCCGTGGGAATTTCCCACGGTATTCTACAAAAGTTACGTTAATACTAAGTAAATTAAAGATATAGATAAAGATTATGAGGTATTATGAAGATATAGTTAAGATTAGCTAACTCTAATAGTTGTGACTTCAATAGACCATTTCACGGATCCCGTTACTCAACCTCAGCCTCGTCAGCGCGTAATATATTCTTTAGAAATTGCCTACAACCTGTGAAAAGTTTTCAAGTGTTTCAATTGTTCGTTGATGTGTAAACTCCTTTCATTACTGCGGACTGTAGTCAAATTCTAAAGAATAATTACACRCTGACGAGGCTGAGGTTGAGTAACGGGATCCGTGAAATGGCCTATTCTTTTGGTCCGTAACAAAAGTAAATTGTGGCGCAATGTGATTGGTCTGGTGTATTCTTTGCTGTGTTAACTACGGCGTTCGTACTCGGCAAGTTTAAATGATTTTCACAGTTATATGAAAATTGTGCTTGTGGAAAGGAATTCGAAATCATACCACGTAATCATGATTCTTCACTGATTCCCCAACGGGAGACACTGCTGAATCGTCTTGAGCGGTTTCCGTTTGATCGGGAGATTTGGTCAGGTTGAATACTCTTTCATCTTTCTTCCACTCCTATTGTTATAAAGGTGGATTACAAAAATGATGATAAGCTATAAGTAAATTGTGGCGCAATGTGATTGGTCTAGCGTATTCTTTGCCGTGTTAACTACGGCGTTCGTACCTCGGCAAGTTTAAATGATTTTCACAGTTATATGAAAATTGTGCTTGTGGAAAGGAATTCGAAATCATACCACGTAATCATGATTCTTCACTGATTCCCCAACGGGAGACACTGCTGAATCGTCTTGAGCGGTTTCCGTTTGATCGGGAGATTTGGTCAGGTTGAATACTCTTTCATCTTTCTTCCACTCCTATTGTTATAAAGGTGGATTACAAAAATGATGATAAGCTATAAGTAAATTGTGGCGCAATGTGATTGGTCTAGCGTATTCTTTGCCGTGTTAACTACGGCGTTCGTACCTCGGCAAGTTTAAATAATTTTCACAATCATGAAAATTGCGCTGTGGATGGGAATTCGAAATCATACCACGTTATCATGATTCTTCACTGATTTCTCAACGGAAGTAGCCTGCAAAGCAGACGTTCTTGTGGGTTTGGGGAAAAACCGGGGTTTAGGGGGAACTTTGGAGCGAGAATTGAGACCGAGCAAAAAAGAAGCGAAGGGGGAGGGARCGAGAAGGGGATATCTGTCATTGAAAATTTGTTCAAGCCTTCTAGAAGAAAAGATTCTCTGCGGAATGTCCTTACCGATATTTGAGATGAATATAAGGAAATGAGAAAGTTAGGCCAATTGTATAACATCGTCAAAAGTAAATGAGCCGTTCGAACTCCTACCCCATCCAAGACTAAGGAAGAAGGCAAAAGATTACTGGATACACTTATTTCAATAAAGTTAGTCACCCGAAAAATTATAAAGCTGAGGCCGACAAAGATTATGGGTAGATTC